TCATTTTAGTTTTTTTTTATCCTTTATCTTTGTTGATTTTGTGTTTAGTTGATTTTGTTGTATGTATTTGATATAGCTATGGTCACATATAAATGATAGTTGGAAGAGCGTTGATTAACTTTTTGTAACTCAATATACATAGTTAATATGCACTCTAAGTAGTTGTATTTCTCATCAAGTTACAAATTTATTTATTTTATTTTTTTATGTTATTAAGTCTCCTTATTTTTTTATTGTTAATGCTCTTTATTAAGTCCAGGATCAAAATCAAAATACACAACACGGAGAAACACTAACCTGTAAAATTACTTATGCATAGTCCTTGTTACAGTAAAGATTGTTTATTCTTTTCTAGAAGTTTCCATGGTTAGACTAATTTTCAAGGCAAAAATCCTGATGTTTTCAAAGGCTTTGTTATATTGTTCCATTTTTAAAGTATTTGATTGAATGTATCATTTGATTTCTATGGTCTGCCTGAGAATACTGGCTCAGATTGAACATATGTATCACCTGCCACACCAAAGCCAATAGTGGTAGCATATATCTTTAAAAAAAAACTGCCTTCCCAGGGTACTATGTATGTTTAAGTAGAACAGCTCTAACAAAGGCATAATAATCACACATTTATAATTTATACTTTAGAATTATTGGTTGCTTTGGTGCAATTATGGCATGAAAAGTTTATTTTACTCTGCCTTTTTTGATTAAGTAAGAAATATCCTTTAGCTAATGTTTTTTATCAGTATGTTGACCATTTTGTACAGTTCGTTGAATTCTAACTGTTCTGAAAATAGCTGAAAATTCACTATAAGATAAAGAAAAAGATCTTGTTTCAGAAACTTAGCTACACATAATAAGAGGAATAGAAGCAGGGTGTTCATGGATATAGAGTGTGAAATAAATTTATTGTCTACAGTCAATATGATTTGTTATGTATGACATTATGTTTCCACAGATCATGCTGCAAACTGTTCCTTAAGGCTGAGTTTAGTGAACAAATGGATGTAATTAGCAGTGATAGCAACAATGGTCCCATTGCAGATGATGCATGACGCATTGCACCTACTTGGGTCTGGTAATGAGAATGCTGATTTCTTGGGTTGCATTCAAATGATAGTAGCACTGTATCATCTGCAATAGAAATGGTTAAGAATATTAATTTTGAAATCAGTGATTGTCAGGAAGCAGCTAATGTTTTGTAGCTGGAAATGACAATGATTTAGTACCAGACATTCTGCTCAGAAACCAGCAAGGTTCTAGTTAGTATATCAGACCTTAGACTGTACCTACCAGCTCAGTGTGCCCACCTGATTAATGAAAACCATATCAACAAGAAAATTTCAAATCAATTACAAGACCTAATCAACGAATGTTGAATATTTTCTCCATCAAACTAAATAAAGGACTAATTTACAAGTTATTGAAGAAGGAAGTTTTCACATAAAAGTAATTTTTGATTCATTGGCTTGTAAATGCACAAGTAAGCTAACACTTTAATCAGATGTTAAAACTGACTGGTGTATGATATATTTGTTTTCATGACATGTATTTATACAAATGTATGTTATTTGAAACTTTTGTTGGCATTACATACAAGTTCTGAAAGAAATCATACCAGTATAAATTGTTTGCTACATGTATGTCTAATACCATTGACATGGATAGGTACATTAACATTTTCAAAAGTAAAATATTAATTTGGATATAACATTTCTCAGTTATAAAGTGTCAAAAGTTCCCTGTGAAGTATATAATCAATCTTTACAAGATTTATTTCGATTGCAGCATTGAAACTCTTGAATCATTTTTAAAGTAATTCTTGTGATGATGACTTTAAATTTTGTTCAGTTAATAAGGCAATTGTATTTCTCTTCCAATGAAAAATGTAATTGACATTTGGCAGGATTTTTCTCAAGCAAGCAAAATTGAACAAAAAATGTTACCATTATAAAACCTTTTATGTATTATCTTTCTTGTATTTTTGTCAAGCTTGAATAAATTGAAAGTTATTTTTCTACATCTTGTTTTGCATTCATTTTAAAAATGTTGACTAGTGTACCTATCTAGCAAGCAGTTAGAAATCTGTTTAAAGGTTAATAATTTTTATCAGAACCAAAAAACATCAGTTTTAATCGGTTTGAGATATTTTCAAAATTTTTCATGGAAAATTAAATTTCACATACTTTAAATGTACCAGGATTCATTAAATCATCATGGTTACTAGGTTGATTTAGTAAAAAAAACAAAAACGTACCCAGATATATTTACCATTAAAAAAAATGTGTGAAATACTTGATTATTGATCAAATGAATACATAGGTTTGGTGTGCAGCGAAAATGTTAATATTAAATGATAAATGTTTTTATATACATGATAACTTATACTTTATTGTTGAAAATCAAAATTAAATACATGGGGGCACGTTATGGAAAGTTCATAATGGCATGGATTTTTCACCACAAGAAGACTTGTGAAGTCTCCTTTGTCTTAAATGAAAATGGTTGCATTCAGATATCCAGAATGGCTGCCACAGTGGTCATCTTGAAAATGTTATCACTACTCCACTGGAATTGTCCTGTCTTATAATGTCTAGTAGGTCTTTGATGAAAATTGTCAGTCTGATGTCCATTATGAATGCCACAGAATTCTCTTCAAATCTTGTTATTGCTGATCTTTCTGAATGGCATTAAACAAATTAACTACATATTGGCATGGTTGTTTTCATCAGAGATTTCTTGTGATGTCTCCTAGGTCCTAATTGAATATTGCAGCCATAAAATGAAATATGGCTACCAAAGTGATCAGTTTGAAATCTTTTCACTATTCAACCAAAATTGATGGTCATTCAAACATGGACTTTTCACTACAATACTCATTACAATATCTTGTTGGTCCTAAATGAAAATGGTGTATACTTTTTCTTTGCTACTTTTCCTTCTTAAAATAAGTTTCATTATGATTTATATGTATCATATGCATGGCAATATTCTATAGCAATACTTTATGATGTGTATCATATGGCAATATTCCATAGCAATATTTTATAATATGTATTATATGTATGGCAAAATTCCATATCAATACTTTAAATGAGTTCTTCAAAGACACCATTTTTACTGCACTCGACACAGGCTATATGTTGCCTGCCTTTTCCCTCAGGACAAAAGGATAAGCATGTAAATTCTGTTCATTGGGCTTTTTTTTTAATTTTGTGTAATAAAAGTACTTTCGCCATATGCCAAGTGAACTTGACCCTATATCCATTGTGTGTTGCCTGTCTATTTACAGTTGCTTGTTACAATGGGGGCAAAACATAATTTTTTTATTTGATTCTGATCCTACTTGGAAAATGGTTCATACAATAAAAACTTCAAATTATTTCAATGGTAAGTGAAATCCATGCATCGTTATGTGATGATCTTATGGCATATGTTTTGCTGAGCTTGTTGCCTGTGGAGGTTATGTGAAAGTGGAATATTGGTCACTTGTGGCATCAAGATTTTTCTTAATGAGCTTGATCAACAAATATGAATAAGGTGATCTTTAAAACCTGATTGGCTGAAGGTGAACTTAGTAACATCTGATTGGTTGAGATTATTGCTACTATTGAGATCACAATGCTGATCTGATTTTGAACTAACTTGAAATAAAGGCTTATATCGCTATTATTAGGGGGAGGTAAACTGTCTATAATTTACCACTACTGTATATCAGCATTATTTGATGGTGTAAATATTAATTTTTTTTTAATGTTTGCAGGATGAATATTTGTTACATTTGTTGAGACATTAAAACAAGGCTGACCCAGTAACTTTATTTAAGAATTTGTAAGGTCACTTGCCCACTAGTCTTTTCAACTCTTTAAGAGATTTTCTTGCCAAAATAATAATTAGGGATTGGTGGGGTGCAAAGAAGGATGCATGGCTTAAGTAGGATATGCCCAATCACCCAATAACAAAATCAAGTGAAAGTGTATTTTAAAAAAAAAAACAAAAAAAAAAACAACCGAAATATGCATAAAAGAATTATTGGAACTAAGAAGACGAATTTGTGTCATTTAACAGTATTTTTTTAATACTTGCTGTTATCGCCATTATAAAGCATTTAGAATCTTCAAAAGTTTAGTCAACTTCGAAGAAATGTAATGACGAAACGACAAGTTTCGTGTGTAATAGAGCAGTTCTATTTTAAGGGAGCTGTGGATTTGGTGAAATTTTAAATGATATTACAAATAAAACTTACTACCTCCAGAATACCAAAGTTCAATCACAGTTGCATACACTCAGGTGTCCCGTTAAAGTCAAAGGTACAAATTCATTGCTTAACGTAACAAAATGTTGTAAATTGGGTCAAAAATATTGATTTTTCATTTATTTATTTTTTCTTCATTAATTATACTGTGGGTGGGGTATGACTTTGTGAAATTTCTGGCCTGATAGGACCGATAGTTTGAGGGCGATACAATTGTCACATACTAAAGGTAAAATTTGGAGTAAAAAAAAAAAGATGTTTTCTTGAGGATAACGCATTTAACAGCTTTGTGCTAGAGGTTTCATTGTACATACGAGGCCCTAGTATTGGGAACCATTTGATGATGCGTGGCCGTTTTCGTCTTTACTTTTTACCCTAGAACAACAAAAGGTCTTTATTTGCATCATTCAATAAAAATAACAAAATACTGGATACTTTTACCGTGACCAGAAACGACAATAGAAGCGTGTGTGTGTGTGTGTGTGTGTGTGTGTGTGTGTGTGTGTGTGTGTGTGTGTGTGATAAATGTTTAACCTAGCTTTAACAATTTTTCAGTCATATCGCTACGATGTACGCAGTGTGACAGTTTATAGTGATGTCTAGCACTGGAGCATCATACTGCAGACATGACGTGATGTCCCACCCAGTCACATTATCCTGACATCAGGTCGACTAGTCCTAATACTAACCATCGTAACGCTGAGCTCCAAGCGAGGCATCTGTTAGTACCATTTTTGATAATCTTTGGTATATCTAGGCCGAGATTTTAACCCGCGACCTCCCGTATTCGAGATGGACGCTCTAACCACTAGGCCATCGAAACGGTCGGAAATAGAAGAAAGGAGTACTTGCTGAAACTGTCACAACACGTCACGCATTAATTCACAAAAAAAAAATGGAAATTCCTTCAGTCTGATATGTTTTTGCAGAACTTTCAGGAAAGATGCAAAGGTTCTTTGGAGTTCATAATGTGTAAGCAGATCTGGGTCTCGACAGATCAGAATCTTTGTTGTTTGCAGTTTGACTTGTAAGCGAGTATATACATTATTTGTCTTACAAAATGGCATAAAAAAAAGAATTAACATGATTAATTTGTCGATTGCAAAGTTAAAATATCGTGCGATGTTTCAGAAAAATGTAGATTCAAATATTACGTATAATGATGATAAAATCGAGTAAGTAAATGCACAGAAATTGTATTTGGCTATATTGTACATAACAATTCAAACAACTCGCAAACTTTTACAAATGTCAGTCTGCAACGATTTAATAAAGCGTTAACTAGAGAAAATGTTCGATTAAAAACATCGCATGGTTACTTGATTGGTATATGAAGTTACTAGTTATAACTTACCCATATAAACGGCAAAATTTGATATAAATCTGAAATCCTTAGTCTTTTAAACTCATTAAAGAAACGTGCTTTATCGAAAACGAAAATTACATTCGTCAATGGATGCCCCACTTCTTATTGACAAAGCCTACGGACAATTTAACAGGCATACAATATTCTCTTGATGTTTTTTATAAAGATTAAAAGGCTGAAAAACAAAGTAAGACCTTTTGAGTACTAATCTTTAAGATGCATTTGCTTATACAAACACCAAACTATTGTGAGAATAAATTAAAACTTAACACAAAAATATATTAAAATACGCCGAATAAGAATGGTTAACTAAACAAGCTACCCATTACACAAACATACTAGCAAAACAACTACATAAAAAATGATTAATGTTAATTATGATCATTGACTGGTATGATTTTTTTTTATATAATAAACATGAAAAACAACAATGGATACAAAGCCAATTTAGTATTAACAAATGTCGTTTGATTATACACTTGGGCCGAGAGCGCACAATCTAAACAAATGAAGATGACGTACATGACGCTTTCAGAGAAGTTCAAAGAAAATAAAGAGCCTTTTAAAGATTAAGGAAAGTGTTTTACAGATGGAAAATTAAGGATTTACTAGAAGAGGAAAACGTGTTGTCAACGTCAACTTACTTAGATAAAGAACATATGTAGTTTAAAGGTTTAGTCTCAAGACTACATGTAGAAGTATTTAATTTAAAATATGGAACCAGAAAAATGGTTTGACCTTTTACCAATCCTAATTCCTGGATACATTAATGCTCATCACAAGTCAGTAGACACGACTGTGGTTCATGGCAACAAGGAAGAACACTGATCAAAGTATGGATTAATATAGTCGGTTACAGACACAAGTGGAACTCCTAAATTTAAAATTGGTGAAGCAATCAGAACATTGGTGTGGGAAATAATTATGTAGAAAAGAAGATAAACGACATTCGCCTTTTGGAAGTTCAAAGGAAAATTCAAATTTAGAAAGGCCAAAAGGTTAAACTGATAATGAAATAAACAGCCATTTATGATTTACTCTTTCCAAAATAGATTATGTTCTTCAACGAAAGACCTTTAACTAAATACGAATAAATTGCGATTACTAACCCTTGGTCGAAAATGCAAATAACAAACTAAATCCAGAACAGGTACAATAACTTGTTCGACGAGAAAAGGAATTTGTCTAACACTCCCTGAACAACCACCAATCACATTGTCAATAATTCAAGGCAACAATGTTTCTGCTTGTTTTACTAAAACAAATAATCAGGTAAATTTCTCAAATTTAAAAAAAAAATAAAAAATTTTGTCAACCAGCAAATGATACGCCATGAGTATGTGATGGAGTAAGTTAAGTATGATCCCCACTTGTTAAGGAGCATTTTAAAAGGATTACCCTATAAAGAACAATCGCTGATAGTTGTCTGCGATATCGCTTAAGCTATTGTAGGTATCATTACAGTCTTTCCATTGAGCAAAAATAAAAGGTTTTCATCCAAAGGGAGTTTGCAACTTATAATTTCGTTAAATATATTTCAGTCGTCCTGTAAGAACCTTAAGTTTTCCCGATTTTATCAATATACTAACTTCGTAATTTTCAGCTTTGCTTATTTTAAATTGTAGTATATTGTTTCATGATCATAGGGTTCATGTAATGTCTTCTTCCATTTTTCTTATATATTCTTCGTGCTATTCTAGCCATATTTTAGCAGCTTTGTTTTTGATAGGATAACTTTCCATTGTTTTGTATATCTTAGCTTTTGCTTTGCAAATAGCCTTCGACAAAGCTCCTCTTCTTGTTGAATAAATTCCCATCGATCTAATTGATTTTTTTGTATACATTATTTTCCTTTTCTACGTCTTCTTATTTAGCTCCAGACTTCTCTCTTGCATACACAATGCTCAAAGTTCGTCAATTTGATACTTTATTTCCTACAATGCAGCATTTGTTTCTATGGGTAGCCTACGTAATTAGTTTGAATCACTCACTTATTCAGTAATAGCATACGCTCAGTCTTTGATATTGGCTGCCTTTCTTCAGCAATATGAACTAGAAATTATTAATGTTGTGTTGTGCTTTAAACAGGCTATGGCGTTTGTTTCTTGTCTCTAAGTATTTTTAGTCAGTCCTGAAATTCATCATATAGTGGAAGTAGGAAGAGTATTTAACTAATCCTCTTCTGAGCTAGGGGATTCACGTTAGCACCATCATTGTGGGGAATCCTTTATAAAAAAAAAATATATAAAAAGCTTGTTTTGAATATCTAAATCATACTTCTGGAATATTTATTTATAAAATTAGAACCCTCTTTATAGTTGGTACTTCTGCACTATTTGTTTGACATAGTTGCCTATTTCTAAAAGTTTATTCATTTTCGGGATAGAGAATCATCGTCAGAGCTAAGGCTACCGCTTTAACAAGCACATTACTTAAGTTTCTTAGTATGAGGATGAAAATATTTTGGTACTGCGAAAAAGTAGAGAAAGTGATCATCAAAGGTGTTCGACTCTGCAATATAAATAAATTTGGAAGATCTGCTGGACAAAGTATATTCCCAAGGGTTTCGATCCATGGAACATCACAGAGAGAGAGAGAGAGAGAGAGAGAGAGAGAGAGAGAGAGAGAGAGAGAGAGAGAGAGAGAGAGAGAGAGAGAGAGAGAGAGAGAGAGAGAGAGAGAGAGAGAGAGAGAGAGAGAGAGAGAGAGAGAGAGAGAGAGAGAGAGAGAGAGAGAGAGAGAGAGAGAGAGAGAGAGAGAGAGAGAGAGAGAGAGAGAGAGAGAGAGAGAGAGAGAGAGAGAGAGAGAGAGAGAGAGAGAGAGAGAGAGAGAGAGAGAGAGAGAGAGAGAGAGAGAGAGAGAGAGAGAGAGAGAGAGAGAGAGAGAGAGAGAGAGAGAGAGAGAGAGAGAGAGAGAGAGAGAGAGAGAGAGAGAGAGAGAGAGAGAGAGAGAGAGAGAGAGAGAGAGAGAGAGAGAGAGAGATTCTTTGAACAACTAACACATAAAAAATTTAGAAATGTATGTGTTCACGATTTTTCCCTAACAGTTATTGCATATGGCTTGATTTGAGAAGTACTGACAATAATAATTTCCATTGCAGAGGTCTAAATTTAGCCAATGTACAAGAAGGTATATACTTGAAAATCTATCTCTAAAAAAGATGTCAATGCCATCGAACTGAACATTTCTTTTGTATCTGAAGAGAATGTAAATATTTAAATCAAATCGTTCATCTTTTAGGTGTGTACAATGTATTTTAAATCAATGACATAATACTTTCTTGAGTAAATAAGTAAATAATTGGGGGACAACACTATTGCCTCAAAATAGTAAATTGGATAGAGACAAAATTATTTATAAAGAAATAACGAAACAATAAAAAAAAAATAATTTTTCGTTGACATTATCATATGCCCAACGTTGCTGTGAAACATGTATTATGATCAAAAAGTTACTAAAAATGAACGGGTGGTTGTTGTACATCACGATGAAAACGAGGTCAGTGGGTCGAGTTGCTGGCTGATATGTATTGAAGAATAATTACTCTGTTCCTAATTTACGACTGCAGGGATCTTGACGACTTAGAAAGGCAAGGAAAACAAATATTGTAACTATATTAGCGTTTATTGGTAGATATTTTAAAATAAGAATGTTTATTCGTGCAAAAGTACAAATCTGTCATGAAAGATTTTTTAAAGAAACTAAACGTTTTTCTTGGTAATTATCTTTAGCGATAATAAAAAACGAAAAAAGAAATGAAAACTAATATCGCTGAAAATGATCTCATCACAAGAGATGTACAACGACATAGTGTAGATACTTTGCAACGGAATAAACTTTTAATGAATGTAATAATGTGAATTTTAATTGCATACCTTGCCAGTTAAAGGTTTTAAAGTGTCCAAAGGTAATGCCTTTATCGTCTGTACTCGCTTATAAGACGAGTCCAATTGCAAACAGCAGACTCAGATCTATCGTTGCATAATGCGCCGGTAGACCTGGATCAATAGAACAGCTTGTTAGGAGTAATCAGTAGAACAGACAAGAGAGACCATGATCTACATACACGTTATGTTACTGCAGATTAGGATCCTTGTTAGCAGTTTGATTCGACTTACAAGCAAGAACAAGCAGTATATAATCCAATAAAAAAGCATATCAATGTAAGAATTCGGTGCTGCTTTGTTCATTTTGATGGTAACATCTCGTGATTGTATAACCTGAATATTTAATTTCCTCTTACCTTTACTTTGGTCCCAAAAAATAAAGTTGGCACATATAAAATTCTAATTGCTCTTTCTTCATTGCACCGAACTATTTCATTGTGTCAGTGAATATATAGTTTAAATCGTTCGCTAACTATTCTAGAGACTGCATCATCAACATAAAGTTATCTACAAATAATCGTTCGTTTCACATCAGTTTCCTTACTTACTTGAATGAAAACATCAGGTTAA